AGTGTGTGAGTGTGTGTGTGTGTGTGTGTGAGTGTGTATGTATTGCAGATATCCAAAAGTACATCAAGTCCGTCCAACGCTCAGAACACATCCAGGTTTTCAGCAGTAGAGCAGCCACCGATGATGAACAAGTCGAAAATACTCTCCGAAATTCCCCAAACTTCCACATAATTAATCAGCCACATGGCTTGAGAACAGTCGTTTCATGAGTCGATCAATTAAGTGGAAGATTGCGAAAACCGAAAAAAAAACCCCCAAACCCACACAGGGTGCACCCAGCACAGGAACAAAACCACCGTCTGCGGTTTACAAGTCGCAGACGTGAGCAGTACTCCAACATATCAACTCATATAACAACAGAACTAATTATTTTTTTTAAAAACCCAACAAAACAAACCCTGTCTGACTTCAAGTGTGTTTGCACGTGTGCATTCACATCACTGTACGTGACGAAGAAGTTACTGGCGGTTAGAAAAGTTAACAAGTGTTGTTGTTGTTGTTGTTGTTGTTTAGAAGTAGGCGTGCTCTGCCATGCGTTTGTTCCGATGCGGGTTTGGTCCGTGCGTGATGGGGGGGACGGGGCTGGATATGCCCTCCGACCAATCAGAGTGAGCCGAGTGCGGGGAGGAGCTTGACCACTGTCCGGGGGAGTCGGGGGACGGGGTGGGCAGGTGGTCCTGGCGGAATGAGCTGATGGTGCTGTGGAGCTGAGGAGGCGAGTCTGTGATGTGCTGGCTGTTGTGGGAGGGAGGGGTGGGGAACTGATCGAAAGTCTGAGGGTAGCTCTGTTGCTGTTGTTGTTGCTGCTGTTGTTGTTGCTGTTGCTGTTGTTGTTGCTGCTGTTGTTGTTGCTGTTGCTGCTGAGCTCGCTGCTGCTGCAGCGACTGCTGTTGTTGCTGGTGATGCTGCTGCTGCTGCTGCTGTTGGACCATCTTGTGCTGTAGTGGGTAGATCTGAGCCACGGAGGGTGGTGGGGGGGCGGCGGCCGAGGGGGGGAGCTGGGAGCCCGAGCCGTCCAGGTGGAATGAGTTGGGGAAATCGTTACCGCGGTGATGGGGGCTCCCGTGCGCCGCCCGCTGCTGCTGCGCGTGTTGCTGCAAGGCCTGGATGTGCGTCGGGGACATGGGCAGGTTCTTCACCTTCATGGGAGGGGCGGGGCCTCCGTGATTGACAGAGCCCAGCACCGTAGCCCCGCCCCCGGGGCCCACCACATGCGTGGGGCTGTTGCCGCTAGCCGAGCCCAGGTGCCCGTTGGCCAGACCGCCCGCGCAGCCAGCCGCCAACTGCTGCTGCGGCTGCTGTTTCTGCTGAAACTGCTGTTGTTGCTGTTGCTGTTGTTGCTGCTGCTGCTGCATTTTGAAGAGGCTCCAGTCGGAGAGCATACTGTCCACGCTGGAGTGCTCCATGAGAGCGGGCGAGCTGTAGTGACCTGCCATGACCTGGAAGTCCTCCAGATGATGACGCCCGCCCAGAGCCGAACCCCCGCGGTCCGAACCCCCAACCCCCGGGGGCAGCACCAGGCCCCCAGAGTTCTCGTAGCGGGGAGGGGAGGTCTCGTAGCCTGGCGGGGAGTGGTGCGAGTCTATAGAGTAGCTCCCCGGGGAGATGGTGCTCATGGGGGAGGAGTCGCTGCTGGAGTGGTGCAGCATGGCCTGGCTCTGCGACGACACCGACGACGGCAACTGCTGCTGCTGCTGTAACTGCTGTTGTTGCTGCTGCTGCTGCTGCTGACTCTTCTTGCTGTCTCCTCCGTCAGCCTTCTTTTTGCGAGATTTCGACTTCCCGTTAGCCGTCGCGGGCAGACCGCCGGGCATCCCGTTGGGAGGCGACGACACGGACCCTGTATCTTTGACGGCCGTGTTCTTACTCTTCCGACTCTTGGACTTGCTCTGCTTGCCCGGGTGCATGTATCCCGCCGCGCCCGCCATGGCTGCGTGGTGGTGGTGGTGGTTGGGGGAGGTCACTCCGCCTCCCAGGTGCACTGAGGCAGGGGAGGCCACTTTGTACGAGTCGAGGAGCTCCACAATGTCGTGGTGTCTCCGCTCGAAGGCGATGTCCCGCGGGAGCCGGTCCATGTGGTCCGTCATGTCGCGGTTTGCGTAGTGGTCAAGCAACACCTTGACCGTCTCGTAGCCACCCTCTCGAGAGGCCAGGAACAGAGGCGTCTCCTCCTGGAGGGGAAATTGTTTTGTTTTAGTCAAAGTTTTACAGTACTGGCAATACAATTAAATAATGTACATTCCAAAGATTAAAGCTGTTACAAGAAAGTAACATACTAAGAAAATTTATAAGGATAAAAAATGTTTTCTGTGCTATTGTAAATCTCACTGTTGTAGCGACAGAGTTGTGGTTCATGAGACGCATGCTACGTATCCCATGGACAGCTAGAAAAACAAATGAAGAAGTATTGGTTGAAG